CATATTATTATTAATATTAATGACTACATTATTTTACACTCTTCTCTTTACAAAAAGAAGCCAGCTTTAAAACAGAGCGCTGGACCGTACCATGTCCGGCAGCGGGGGGGGGCTGAGACCTGGCACGGCCCGACGCCATTAAAGGAACAGTCCATAAAACACTGCTGGTTCAAACGGTGACGCTGCCGAGGTTTGTGCGACAGTCCTCGTGTTGTGTTGTTGTGTTGTTTGCTATGGTGCATTGTTGTGTTGTTATGTTGTTGTTGTGTTGCTGTGTGGTGGTATGTTGTGTTGCTGTTGTGTTGTTGTTGTTGTGTGTCAGCGGTCCAGGACGTAGGTCTTGTACAGACGGTTCATCTGCTCCAGGAAGATGAAGGTGAGGACGGTGTGCGGTCCGAGCCGGGCGTAGTACGGAGTGAAGCCCTTCCACAGAGAGAAGAAGCCCTCAGAGCCCACCACACGCATCAGCACCTCCTGCAGGAGCAACACACACAACACAACACAGACACACACACACAACGTCAACACAAGCTCAGGACTCGGTGGTGCCTGAACGCCACACAGTCCAGAACCATGTCAGGAAGCAGCTGTGAGAGGCGCTGTGGGGGAAGCGTTCACACCGACAGCGCCTCAGTTCTGGAAGTTCACAGCCAGACCAACAGTTCTGGAAGTTCACAGCCAGAACAACAGCTCTGGAAGTTCATAGCCAGACCAACAGTTCTGGAAGCCTAACACCACACAAACAGGTCTAGTTTCAGGTGAAACAAAAAGCCAAATCTCTGGAGACGGCTGAATAACAAGCTGTGGTCGCTCCACAGAAAGCTGTGTGCGCTCGGCTGCAGCGGTTCTGGAAAACATGTGGAGAAAAAGTTCAGGAAGAAGTTCCAGATCAAAAACAAGTCAAGTGTCAGGAGACGGTCTGAAGTTTGTACTGGAACGGTTCTGGAAAAGATGGTCCAGAGCTGCAGACCAAGATCCCACCAGCTCTGGAAACAGTTCTAACAGGAAAACGTTTCTGTAAAAAGTCGTGAGGCTGAAGTAACTTCTAAATGAAAGCGCTGCTACGTGCAGTGGCTGCTGTGACCAGGCTGAGAGGCTTCAGGTGGAGCTGCAGGTCCTCCACAGTCTGAGCTGCTGGCTGAAGACCAACGCCTAAGAACAAGTCTGAAGGACAAACCTGGTGTCTGTGGAGGGAACCTGAAGGAACAGCTCAAGGCAGAGTTTGAGGTTAACCGTCATAAAACCTCCTTTCAAAAACACAGTGAAGTATTTTCCTATTTCTATGAAGACGTGTCCCGTCCCAGCCCTGAGGAGCAGGAGTCCAGCAGCGTTACTGGTCACAGGAGTCCCTCCTGTGACCAGTCACGCTGCTGGACTCTCAGGATGGAGGAAGCCACTCACCAAGCCGTTCTTGTACTCGGGCTTCCCGTCGATCATCCTCATGTTCTGGATCCTGCCCGACACACAAACACACGCTCAGAGTCATGACACATTGTGGCCTTCACCTGGATGCCTTCTGCTCGCTGCTCCTCTCACCTGGTCTTCACGATGTCGACGGGCATGGAGGCCGCCGTGGTCACCAGGCCGCTGATCATACTGGCACAGAAGTGGCACAGGATGTCGTCACCGAAGTACCCTGAAAGCACCAGCAGGCAGAACAGCTGCTCAGTTACCTCAGTGTGGCTCTGCAGACAGTCAGAACCACTACGGGACCGCTTGGACTGTTCTACTAACGGGTAAGAACCAGAACCAACAGGTCTCCAGATGTTAAACCTGGAGCTCATGTTGTCTCCTCGTCCTGCAGATGTTGAACTATCTCCATGGAGGGAGGAAGGTTCTGGTTCTACAGGGTCAGAACCAGGAAGGTTCTGGTTCTACAGGATCTGGTTCTAGCTAACGGTTTATTTCTGGAGAACCTTAGAATAACTGTGTAGAGGTTCTGATGAATGTCCCAGCGTTCAGCTCAGACTGGTTTTCATGCGTGTCACATTCAAGGACCGTCAGAAAGTCTCTGTTCTGCAGCACCAGGCCCACCAGCGATGGGACCTGCTGCAGGGGGATCATACCTGAGTCGAGCAGCGCCTGCTTGGACTGAGAGTAGGAGGCCAGCTGGGCAGCGTTGACCACCACCGCTCGGGCCATGGTGGGAACACAGCCCTGGACGGCACAAGCACAGGGACAGAGACGGGTCAGAACACGGCACAACGTCAGCAACGCAGCCACACAGTGTGGGTGGTACCACAGGTTCAGATGTTCTTTTCTCTTTTGTTGTGTAGTTGATCATTAACACGTTCTGTCTTTGTCCTGGAGTTATTCTATGGATCTGTGTGCACTGGTCAGGTGATGCAGCTAAAGGTGGAGGAGGAGGTGATGGAGGTGCAGCTCACCCTCCACAGCGTGGCCACGCCTTCCTCCCGGGTGATGCGGGCGAGGGCGTTGAACACGTTGGTGTAGCCCCTCCTCTGGTCGGGAGGCAGCCTGCAGCACACAAGCAGCTCAGCCAATAAATAAACAATCAATCAATCATCAATCAGTCAGTCATCAATCAACCGGTCTCACCGTCCGTCGGCCGTCATCCTGATCAGAGCGACCTCTGCTGGAGTTCCCACAAACGCTCCTGTGGCTCCGGCTGTCATACCGATCAGAGCCTGCAGGGGGAGCCACAGTTACTGAGCAGCACAACACCAGGCAAACCAGTTCAATCAACGCCTGAACCCGGTTAAAACCAGTCTAAAACCAGTTCACACCAGTTAAACAGCACTATAATCTAGCCTGGAACCAGTTTAAATCCAAGTCGAAAACTAGTCTCCTACCAAGCTTTAAACCCAGTCTGAACACAATCCAGCACCAGGTCCAAAACCAGTTTACTACCAAGTCTAAACCCAGTTTAAACCCAGTCTAAAACCAAGTCTAAACCTGCGTCTAATAAAACTTCAAAGCCAATCTAAACACCATTTTGTACCCATGTCTAAAACCCAGTCTTTAAACCCAGTCTAAACCCACACCTAGTATTACAAATCCAATCTAAAACAGAGTCTAGAACCAGACTAACCCCAGTCTAAAACCGGTCTAACTAAGGAAACCAGGGGGGTGTAACACGGCGGTCTGAGGGGACCGACGGCGGTGGAGAACCTCCAACCTTCAGAAGGAAGTTGGGCGGTCGGCCGTCAGCGCTGGTCATCTTCTCAAACAGGATGGTGTAGATCCCCAGACGGGTGGTGGTGTAGGTGGCCTGGCGGAGGAGACCGGCCGACAGCCTGACAGGAAGCAAACAGTCTGACTACACGCTGGGGCAGGAAGTCACAGGAAAGCTGGTGTAGC